TGATCCATGAGAAGACCTTCCCTCTTATCCCATGACTGCTTAGTTTGCTTAAGAGCCTTTGGTGTGGGACCTGTCCAAAATATTTCTGAAAGTCTAAGGATGCTATATTGATTGGATCACCCTAATTCACTTGCTTGTTGACACAAAAGAATTCTAATAGATTGGTAAGATATGATTTCCCCTCACAAAAGCCATGTTGACTCCTCCCCAACATATCCTATTTATCTATTTATCTATTTATTACAGTTTCAAACAATTTTTCTGGTACTGAAGTTAGCCTTACCAGCCTGTAATTGCCAGGATCAACTCTGGAGCCTTTTTAAAAAAATTGTGTTACATTAGGTATCCTCCCAGTCATCCCAGACATGGATTTAAGTGATAGGTTACATACAACAATTAATAGTTCTGCAATTTCATATTTGAGTTCCTTCAGAATCAGAATCACCTGATCCTGGTGATTTATTACCATTTAATTTATGAATTTGTTCCAAAACTTCCTCTATTGATACCTCAGTCTGGGACAGTTCCTCAGATTTGTCACCTGAAGTGGGTGAAAATCCTTTTCCTGCATCAGAAAGTATATTGAATAAACCTCCTGACCCTGGGTTCTTTGAATAATTCCCTGAAAGCCCCTGTCAGAAGAACTTTCTGCACTTCTTCTCACAAGACTATTCTACTTTCAGGTTTCTTGAAAAAGGAAGGATGGGGGGATTAAAAGGGGTCATGGCCCATCTCTATAATTTCTAGGACTCATTTGTCTGATGTAATAAGCTTCCAATTGCTAATAAAATGGGCTAGTCTATCTCCAAACAGAGGAAGGGAAGGGTTCCCACTGTGCTGATTGGTTCTTAATTCTCAATCCTCACATCAAATCTGAGATGTGATGTTCAAAGATAACAGAGGGAGCAGATTGCTTAGATTAAGGCCTCAATTTAAAAGACCTCTTCATATGTTGGATCTGGGAAGATGTAAATTGGCTGATGCTCTTGTTAACGTTTTTGACTTGACAAGAGATAAGCCAAAGAAGACTGTGGATAATACTGTCTCAGTTAACAGAAAGGAATAGAAGAAATCAAGGCCAAAGAGCAAGCTTTTGATCTTGTCTCCTTTATCTTTTCCAGCAAAGGCATCTGTCTTTTCATTGAAAAGACCATCCCATTTAAAAGGGAGATCTTCCACTTTAATTCTAGTATGCAGAGCCAGAGAAAAGATGCGAAACCAAGTATGTCTCCTCAGAGTAACTGCAGAAGCTGACGCTCTAGCAGAAGAGTCCGAGGCATTAAATGGAGCCCTGAGAGAGAGTGCTTTGCCACATTTTGACCCTCCATTAGAATCACATTTGCCAATTTCCTTTTGTTATCCACCAAATTCTGCACAAATAGTGCCAGCTTTTTCCACTGGCGGAATTGATAGCAGGCCATAACTGCTTGGTAATTTGCCACCCTAATATTAAAAGAGGAAGAAGTGAACACCTTTATCCCTAGAGAATCAATCTTTTTCCTTTTTCTATCAGTAGAAGGGGAATGTGCTTGTCCAGATCACAACCTGTTACTGGCAGCAGCTGCCACAAGCATATTAGATAAAGGAGGATGTAAAAATACAAAAACCCCTCTGATACAATTTGTCTGCCTTCTTGGAAACACGCTGGGAAGAGGCAGGAGTGGACCAGTTTTAGCAGGCTGCAGCAGACCATCAAGGACTGGAGGTAGACCCAAGAATGTCAGACGTCAGATGGGAAGTTTGCTCCCCAGGTACTGAAAGTAAGTTCAACATGGATATCATGCAGTCCACTAGGTCATGAAACTGCAGAGCCATCCTCAGAAGGGGAAGAGGCAGAAGCCACTCTCGCATGCTTGTCTGGAGAAAAATCAGGATCATGATATCAGAATGCTCTTGTTCAAAAAGAGAAGCTGTCTCATCTTGTTCACATAGATTATCAAGCCACACTGCCTCAGATGCAGAGGATCCAGTGGAAGCAGATTCAAGGATTTCTCCACCACCAGATCCTTTACAGATGAAACATCGCCTCTCTATCCATAAGGGGGACAACTGAAAAATTCCTGTGGAAGATGCCTAAACATACAGCCCAAAACTGCCAATAGTCCCAGCAACTGGGATTCAGGAATGTACTGCAGGACGAGGACGAAGAGGAGACCCAAAGCATGAGGAAACAGGTCTCTTTATCCTTCTTCTATCCTCTAACAGATATGGCCTCAGATCCAAGATGGAACTTACAGAAATAGCAATGAATCTGGAGGGAGGACAGAAACAAACAAACAGAGAAAACTCTTTGTGGAGACCCTAAAGGAGTCTTAGGAGGAGATAATATAGACAGATCAGGAGACAGGCTAACAGTCTCCTCTGTTCATCCCCTTTTATTTCAAGTGAAGACAATGCAGATCTTGGAACCAGTGAAGCCTTTGAGACCCTCTGTTTCTCACGTGGATCCAAGAAATGCTCAGAAGCTGAACATTACCCATCAGCCACCAAAGTAAAAGTTCTCTTTGGATCCGAAGATGGACCTGGAATTGGAGCAGAGGTCGAGGACAGAGCTAAAGACCTGGATAGCATAGGGTCCAATGAAATATTCAAATCCTCCTTCTTGGTTCTTGTAGCTGAAACTGGAACTGCCCTTGGTTTCAGAACCACAGAGTGCCTGTCAGAATTGGATGGATCCAATGAATCTGAAGTTTGGGATCCAGGACTATTAACAGTGGCTGTCTTTTCCCTAGCCTCCTTCTTTGGAACAACACAGCCAGAATCAACAACATGGCTCTTGGTACTGTTATAGGCAATCTGCCCTTGTCCATCAATGGCACCTTCAAAGACCTGATTTCTTGAGCAGCAGGACCTGGAAATCAGACCCAACAAAGGTTGCAATTTCCTAAAACCTTTAAACTGCTTTGACTTGTTAGAAGAAGTCACAGGAGCCAAAACTGGATTCTTAGATGAGTGCCTGGATCCAGAGGGGTTTACCTCAAGGGCCTCATTAAGGAGAAGCATCTGCAACATGTTCTGCCTCTCCCTGCAAGCTCTGGGCATGAAAATCTGGCAGATGGAACACTCAAAAGGAGAGTGGCCCTCTCCCAAGTGCTTAAGGAACATAGTGTGGTCATCTGACACTGGAAAGACAGCCAGGCACAAAGCGCATCTGTAGAATCTCCACTTCTCTGGAACTGAGCTATTACCTAACAACTATCTATACTTACCACTAAACTATAAATTGTACTAAACAATTAATAGGACACTAAAAATGGAGGGAAAAAATCCAGATCCAAATGGACTGGAGGAATTCACTCTCTTTGGCACATGGCAGGAAGGCACTGAGATGGTAGAGGGCTGTGTACCCCCTTATATAGCCTCACCCTTCCGAGACGCTGTATGGAGGGGACACAGGAGCACTCTAATGTATACTGCTTGGAGAAAGTGCTACCACTAGGTGGCACAACACCTATAAATGGGAATATAGGATATGTCACCACTACGAAATTAGGTCGAATTTATAGAAGTCATTTTTTAGAAATCGTTTTTATATAGTCGACTGGGTGTGTCCCCACACAAAATGCTCTAAGTGCATTAACTCGGCAGAGTGCTTCCACAGTACCGAGGCTAGCGTCGACTTCCAGAGTGTTGCACTGTGGGTAGCTATCCCACAGTTCCTGTAGTCTCCACGGCCCATTGGAATTCTGGGTTGAGATCCCAATGCCTGATGGCAAAAAACATTGTCGCGGGTGGTTCTGGCCCTCCCTCTGTGAAAGCAATGGCAGACAATCGTTTTGCGCCTTTTTTCCTGAGTTACCTGTGCAGACACCATACCATGGCAAGCATGGAGCCCGCTCAGCTCACTGTCACCGTATGTCTCCTGGGTGCTGGCAGACGCGGTACTGCATTGCTACACAGCAGCAGCAACCCATTGCCTTGTGGCAGCAGACGGTGCAATAGGCCTGATAACCATCCTCATCGAGTCCAAGGTGCTCCTGGCTGCCTCGGTAAGGTTGGTCAGGAACACCTGGGCAGACATGGGCGCAGGGACTAAATTAGGAGTGAGTCGACCAGGTCATTCTCTTTAGTCCTGCAGGCTGTCCTCTTGTACCATCTTATGGTGAGCAGGCAGGAGATGAGGATGGCTAGCAGTCCTATTGCACCATCTTCTGCCGAGCAGCCAGAAGATGTGGATGGCTTGCAGTCCCACTGCACCGTCTGCTGCCAGACAAAGATGTAAAAGATAGATGGAGTGGATCAAAACAAGAAATACACCAGATTTGTTTTGTAACCATTTGCTCCCCCCTCCCTCCCTCCATGAAATCAACAGCCGACAATTGTTTTGGTGAGGTCTGTCAGGGCACCTTGAAAACTTTAATGGAGACTCAGTCCTGCCTAAAATATCAGAGGGTGGGATAGCTTAGTGGGTTGAGCATTGGCCTGCTAAACCCAGGGTTTTGAGTTCAATCCTTCAGAGGGCCATTCCCCATGACAGTTGTTTTTGTTTATCCTTGATGTAAAGCCACCCCCTTTGTTGATTTTGTAACCCTGTAAGCCAACCCTGTAAGCCATGTTGTCAGTCGCCCCTCCCTCTGTCAGAGCAACGGCAGACAATCGTTCTGCACCTGTTTTCTGTGCAGACGCCATACCACAGCAAGCATGGAGCCCGATCAGATCACTTTGGCAATTAGGAACACATTAAACACCACGCACGTTATCCATCAGTATATGCAGCACCAGAACCTGGAAAAGCGAAACCAGGCGAGTAGGTGACATCAGCGCGGTGACGAGAGTGATGAGGACATGGACACAGACTTCTCTCAAAGCATGGGCCCTGGCAATGCGGGCATCATGGTGCTAATGGGAATGGCCAGGCTACAGTGTGAAAGTTCTGTTTGTTTCTCCTTGATGAACCCCCCCCTGGCCCCTTGGTTCACTCTACGTCCCTGTAAGCTAACCACCCTCCCCTCCTCCCTTCGATCACCGCTTGCAGAGGCAATAAAGTCATTGTTGCTTCACATTCATGCATTCTTTATTAATTCATCACACAAATAGGGGGATAACTGCCAAGGTAGCCCAGGAGAGGTGGTGGAGGAGAGAAGCACCAGGAGGGGTGGTGGAGGAGGGAAGGACAAGGCCACACAGCACTTTAAAAGTTTAAAACTTATTGAATGCTAGCCTTCTGTTGCTTGGGCAATCCTCTGGGGTGGAGTTGCTGGGTGACTGGAGGCCCCCCACCGCGTTCTTGGGCATCTGGATGAGGAGGCTATGGAACTTGGGGAGGAGGGAAGTTGGTTACACAGGGGCTGTAGCAGCTGTAGCTGCCTTTCCTGCAGCTCAACCATACGCTGGAGCATATTAGTTTGATCCTCCAGCAGCCTCAGCATTGAATCCTGCCTCCTCTCATCACGCTGCCGCCACCTTTCAGCTTCAGCCCTCTCTTCAGCCCGCCATCTCTCCTCCCGGTCATTTTGTGCTTTCTTGCACTCTGACATTGTCTGCCTCCACGCATTTGTCTGTGCTCTGTCAGTGTGGGAGGACAGCATGAGCTCAGAGAACATTTCATCGCAAGTGCATTTTTTTCACCTTCTAATCTTTGCTAGCCTCTGGGAAGGAGAAGATCCTGTGATCCTTGAAACACATGCAGCTGGTGGAGAAAAAAAAAAGGGACAGTTATATTTAAAAAGACACATTTTATAGAACAATGGGTACATTCTTTCACGGTAAAGCTTGCTGTTAACATTACATACATAGCACATGTGCTTTCGTTCCAAGGTCACATTTTGCCTCCCCGCACCACATGGCTAGCCTCTCCCCCCTCCCCGTGGCTAAGATTGGGGAACATTTCTGTTCAGCCACAGGCAAACAGCCCAGCAGGAACGGCACCTCTGAATGTCCCTCTTAAGAAAAGCACCCTATTTCAGCCAGGTGACCATGGATATCACATCACTCTCCTGCGGATAACACAGAGAGATAAAGAACGGATGTTGTTTGAATGCCAGCAAACATACACTGCAATGCTTTGTTGTACAATGATTCCTGAGTACGTGCTACTGGCCTGGAGTGGTAAAGTGTCCTACCATGGTGGATGGAATAAGTCTACCCTCCCCAGAAACCTTTTGCAAAGGCTTTGGGAGTTCATCCAGGAGAGCCTCAAATGCCAGGGCAAATTAATCATTAAACATGCTTGCTTTTAAACCATGTATAGTATTTTAAAAGGTACACTCACCAGAGATCCCTTCTCCACCTGGCGGGTCCGGAAGGCAGCCTTGGGTGGGTTCGGGGGGTACTGGCTCCAGGTCCAGGGTGAGAAACAGTTCCTGGCTGTCGGGAAAACCGGTTTCTCCGCTTCCTTGCTGTGAGCTATCTTCCTCGTCCCCAAAACCTGCTTTTGTGTTGCCTCCATTTCCATTGAAGGAGACATGGCTGGAGTGGTGAAACAACACGGCTGGGGTAGTGGTGGCTGAACCCCCTAAAATGGCATGCAGCTCATCATAGAAGCGGAATGTTTGGGGCTCTGACCCGGAGCAGCCGTTTGCCTCTCTGGTTTTCTGGTAGGCTTGCCTCAGCTCCTTAAGTTTCACGCAGCACTGCTTTGGGTCCCTGTTATGGCCTCTGTCCTTCATGCCCTAGGAGATTTTGACAAATGTTTTGGCATTTCGAAAACTGGAACGGAGTTCTGATAGCACGGATTCCTCCCCCATACAGCGATCAGATCCCGTACTTCCCATTCGGTCCATGCTGGAGCTCTTTTGCGATTCTGGGACTCCATCATGGTCATCTCTGCTGATGAGGTCTGCACTCACCTGCAGCTTGCCACGATGGCCAAACAGGAAATTGAAATTCAAAAGTTTGCGGGCCTTTTCCCGTCTACCTGGCCAGTGCATCTGAGTTGAGAGTGCTGTCCAGAGCGGTCACAATGGAGCACTCTGGGATAGCTCCCGGAGGCCAATACTGTTTAATTGCGTCCACACTACCCCATATTCAACCCGACAAGGCCAATTTCGACGCTAATCCCCTTGTTGGGGGTGGAGTAAAGAAATCAATTTTAAGAGCCCTTTAAGTCGAAAAAAAAGGGCTTCGTTGTGTGGACGGGTGCAGAGTTAAATTGATTTAACGCTGCTAAATTCGACCTCAACTCCTAGTGTAGACCAGGGCATACAGAGCCTCTCAAATAAGAACTTGAATGTTCTGTGTTCATGTGCTGCTTAGGAGGGTGTGATGGAGTGTACAAACCTCATGAGACAGGAAAGAGTAACCGACTGCTGGACTCCATTCAGCCCTGCCCTGTGAAAGATAAAGAAAGTGTCAGGCTTCAAGGGAGAAGCTAAAAGGGGAGAGCAGTTGTTCATCTCTCTCACTGTGGAAGAAAAGGCTACTGGACAGGTCAAAATCTGAGCAAGACTGCTGCCTACAGCCCCCTTGAGGGAAGGTAGGCTTGGCCTGGGATGATTGCCTTGTTTGGTTGCCAATTACCAACTTAGGCTTCTTGCATGAGCCCCAGTGGGGAGAATTGTTTGTTTTCTTGCTACACTGAAGAGCCTGGGAGTCTGTTGAAGACTGAGCCCAGGAAGAACAGAATAGTTTTTCTGTGTCTATTATGGACTTTAGGTACCCTGGAAGGGGTGGAATTTCTATGTGATCTAACTGGAGGGCTAAATCCTCTCAACCCAGAATTTGCTGGAGGCTGGCTGATCAGCTGAAGACAAGGAGGAAAACAAGTGTGTGTCACCACAGAGGGACTATGAATAGAAGGAGCAATTGGGGGCATTGGGGAATATCCAATGGAAAAGTGGCATGGAAAATGGAGCTGAGAACAGTGTAGAGGGAAAATGAACAAAGATTGGGAGAATGTAATTCTAGTTAAATATACCCACAGTACTGTATTCTTCTTATACACGTCATTTATTTATGCCAGCTCATTTTTTGTAGACATTAGGACAGTTGGTTGCTCTGTCCCTTGACACAGAGCAAGGTTTATCTGGAAAACTTTATTTTAAATCAATTTATGCTCAGAAATCTGAAAGGGGGGGCTTAAGAAAACAATTGTTCAAACACAAATTAATTCAGTTAACTCTGCAGGGTCAAAGAAATAGTTTGAAAAAGTTCTATTCATTTTGTTTATTTTCACACACTTCTCCTCTGCCCTTGTAGGATCTAGTCAGAAGACACCTGCCTTTTTTTGGTCAACTAATTCTACATTTCAACTTGCTCACTATACTCCCCCTATAGAAATAAATTCACACGACTCTTAGGTCCATTGATATTTTTGACCAGTCACCTTCCTTGTAAGTTACTCCATCTGCTTCTTGCCCTTGGCAAGAAAGATTTCCTGAACTCTTTACAAGAGCATCAGAAGTGACGGTTTAGTAATATAAGCAACAAGTTTGAAGGAATTGGGAATTGAAGCTTAACATTTGATCCAAAGTAGCTGAGTTGGATATGATCCATCTGTCTGTGCATCAACATAATGCTGTTACTCTAACCTTGAGGGGAGTCACATACTTTGTGGTGGGCAACAAAACACCAGAGTGTGCCTATAGAGGTCATGGCACATGAAACAAAAATTAATGTTACAAAGAACATTTATAGAAGAGAATGTTGAAGTCTTCCATTAAAAAAAAAGTTATTGAGGAAAGTTGTACATGGAAGCAGGATCATAACAAAACTATTGTACATGTCAGAATGGGATCTGCCATCAGCAGCATAACAGCTACATGGTAAACTGCACCTCAGACCCTTTTAGTTCTTCTTGAGTGCACCCCTTTAGGCTTCCTACAACTCACTCTGTGTGAAACCACATAGTCCAACCACTCTTGACTCGATCTCTGGGCTGCAGCCCGTGGTTCCCAACCATGTTAACAACACAGGTTCAGCATGGTTTTGGTGTGAGTTTCCCCCCAGAAGCCTGTGAGAACATAAGTACATAGTAACTAACCATAAACAAACACGGAGTCATGCATCATAGTCATTAAAAAAATATAGATATTTCCCAGGATGTCACAAACTGTATAAATATGTACAGTGCTCATACTGGTTCCCCTAGTTCCCGACTGGTATATTGCCAGCTCCTATTTGGACTTCCTAAAACTGGTTTACATCCAGTACTCAGCTTTCATAATCTCTAAAAATTGAATTTTGTTATGGTGTACACACACAACTTATTAACAAATGTATAACCTTTTACAAAGTCTCAACTCTTTCAGAAAGACAGGCAGAGGAGGCTTCACATACCAAAACCCAGCACTATGACACTAAGTTTTAAAAATACTTATTTTAAAAAATGAGGAAGATAGTCAAGATTCTAAAGTCAAAAATGAGGAAACCAAAATCTTTGGACACACTGTGGAGGCTACTTAAATAAACATAACAGAGTAACAGAAAGCATTCATACCACTGAAAGTGAAAGTTGTAATGTAAGAAAAAATTCACAGAACAATTGAAGAGGTTACCTGAGTCAAAAAGACATACTTCAGAAAATAGAAATCCAACCCTAATGAGACTAACAGAAGGAAAAATCAATTATATCAGATAAAATATTAGATGGAAATTACTACAGTGGAATTTGTCGTCTTATCCAATGGCCAGTGAAGTGACTGGGAGCTTTCTATTAACTTCAAAGGGCATGAGATCATGCTCTTGAAGAACAAATACTCAAATACACAAAAAGAAAAGGAGTACTTGTAGCACCTTAGAGACTAACAAATTTATAGGTGCCACAAGTACTCCTTTTCTTTTTGCAGATACAGACTAACACGGCTGCTACTCTGAAACCTGTCAAATACACAAGTAAACAAGAAATGCTCCAAGGATATCAAAAGCAGGAAACCTGTGAGAAAAGTGATAAGTTTGCTGAACTACCAGCAAGGTATGGGAGCAATTAAGGAGCATAAGAAAATTGCAGATAAGCTAAATGATTTCTTTGCATCAGACTTGTCCTACAGAAGATGTGGGGGAAAACTGTTTGGCTAAAGAAGATAAGACACTGTCACAGACTAACATGTTTAATATATTTATTAATAGATGTGGAAAAGAGAGTGAACAAAGAGGTGGCAAGATTTGCTGATATCATAAATTTATGTAGGTTATTCAAGGTCAGAGAAGACAGTGAGGAACTTCAGAGAGACCTAAAAGTAAGTGAGTTAGTTGAAATTCATTGTTGATAAATTCAAGACAATTCTTATTGGCAGGAATACTTTTAACTACTAATACATATTGCTAGGTTCTGAATTAACTATAACCACTTGAGAAGAAAACTTGGGCAGACCTGAGGGGTCATGGTTGATAGCTGAATGAAATTATTTGTTCAATGAGCAGCTACTTGGAGGGAAGGAAAAATAATTTTATGATGTGTATAGAGAGTAGATATTGTAATGTCATGATATAATTGCTGCCACACCCTTAGAATACTGTGTTTAGTTCTAGTCATTCTCTTTCAAAAGACATAGCAAAAACAGAACTTAAGAAAAGGGTAATATGAATGAGCAGAACCATAGAAAGATTTGCATATGAGAAGACTTAAAAGAGTGGGACTGTTGAGTTTAGAGAGGAAATGGAAAAAGGGGGAACATGACAGAGGTATGTATTTGAAATGCAATGTGGGAGCTTCTTATTTAGATTTTTATACAAGAACAAGGAGCCATTCAGTGGAAGTGACATGCAATAAATTTAAAACTGATAAAAGGAAATACACAATGCTCAATTAGCCAACAGATTTCTTTCCTCCCCCCCCCCCCATTATCTTTTCAGCCAAGAGCTTAGCTAAATTTTGAAAAGAATCAGCAGTTTATACGGAGAATGAGAACTACTGGAGTTACATAAGACAGGATAGCAAACATTTTGAATAAAGAATATCATGCTTCATGGAATAAGCCAACCTCTAAATAAGGGGGTTAGAAAGAAACTTCCCCTATGGGCAGGTTATTTCATAATTATATCATGTAACTTCTTTTGAAGTAGCTGCTATTGCCTTTGGTCAGAGATAGGATATTGTATTAGATGGCCCACTGAGCCTAATCCAATATGGCAGATTTTACATAAATATATATAAAATGTCAAAACTAAACAATAGACATTTGCAGTCCAGTGTCTGAACGGCCTGCTCAGTAATGAACTCTGCAACAGAGGTGACCTCAGAACAGTGCAAATACCTTCATAAAATGAAATAGTTTCAAAATGCTGTGCCTGGAGGAGGAAACACAGTGTATGTAATTCAGTTGTATTGCCCTACCATTTGTGTTTGCTTCTGTCCCCTAGATCAGCCTAATGGAACAAATACCAGTTATCCATTCATCAAGTCAAACTGCTAGAATAGTCTAGAGAATAATAAAAAGTTTGCAAGCATGGCCTTTATTTATTTGTCTAGATATGTATGTGGTCCCCATTACCGTTAGCACCTGGGCACCTTTGAATCATTTTGGTTCTGGAGTGAAGAAACTATAGTCACTCAAGGGTGCCAAATCAGTACTGTATTTCCTTTGTCACTTCAGTTGTACTGAAAAAAAAAAGAAGCATGCCTAGTATTTTCAAGAGTGGAAACACTGTTAGGGCTTAACACTTAATCAGATGTTTCACCAGGAAAGCTTTTCATACTGTGCTTTTTGTTTATTCATAAAGACAGCTCTGCTATCTCATGGACCTATCAAAAAACCACGCCGCAGCTGGCAGCATTAAAGCTTTTAGCAATTCATTATGTGTTCAGAGCTTTGCAAGAAGAATAGAATTTGATTTCTCGGCTGACTTTTGGGCCTGTGTCAAGTCTTTAAATTCAGGCTTTAACCGAAAGATTGTATGTAAGAAAAGAGTGCTTCATTCTCTGTTTCTAATACCCTCTCATTCAAACCAGCAAAACAAAGACAAAATATAGGAGAAGGAAATGGGAAGCATGGTGGGGGTGGGGAAACTGTACAGTGCTTGGTAACTTCAGGGCTGCATTTAATATTCTGTTTTCAGATTCCTCATCTCACTGCCTAGATCCTATGCTTCAGCCTCTGCTGGAAACTGTGATGTTTAGGAAGATATATAATGAAAGCTGAACTGTCAAAGATTTTTTGCCTTTGACAGATATGTTAAAAAAGCATTTAGGCATTACAAGTGACCAACAATAAAGACTCTGGTCTGGATGTCTGTGTGGAGTTTTTGTGTATGTGTGTTTTTAATGTAGAGTATGGACACACTCCCCTAGAATCCCCAAATTTGGAAGCCAAAACTCATGAGCAGGACATCCCCAGTAAAACGTTGACTCCAATCTAGACTCTTATCATAGGCACTAATGACTATTAACAAAA